AGTTGTAAGTTGACAAGTTTTTTCTCCCTTTCATCACTGTAGGGATGTCAATACATTGTCTTCTGACTTGATAGTTTCTGATCATGATCTGCCATAATGCTTTTTATTTGTTCCTCTGTATATTATGTGCCTTTTTCCCTCTGGTTGCCTGCAAGATTGTCTTTCTCTTTCATTTTTAGCAGTTTGACTATGATGCATCTAGCTGGTATTTTAAAAGTATGTTTTGTGTTCTCAAATCTTGGATATGTGTTTTAATGTCTTCTGTTATTTTTGGAAAAGTCTCAGCCATTATCTCTTCAAATATGTTTGCTTCCTTGTTCTCTCTCTCTTCTGGGATTCTAATTACATTCATGTCAATCTGTTTGATATTGATGCACAGTTCTTGGATGCTCTTCAGTTTTATTTTTGTTTTTCATTCATTTTTCCCTTTGTATTTCAGTTTGAGTAATTTTTATTGACCTGTTTTCAAGTTCACTGATCCTTTCCTCAGCTGATTTGAGTCTACGGATGAGCATATCAAAAGAATTTTTATCTCAGTTACTGTATTTTTTCAGAAACAGTGTCTCACTCTGTCGCCCAGGCTGGAGTGCAGTGGTGCAATCATAGCACACTACAGTCTCCAACTCCTGGGCTCAGGCAAGCTTCCTGCCTCAGCCTCCTGAGTAGCTGGGACTACAGGCACGCACCACCATGCCCAGCTAATTTTTTTATTTTTTATTTTTTTGGAGATATGGGGTCTTCATGATGTTGCTCAGGCTGGTCTTGAACTCCTAGCCTCAAGCAATCCTCCCACCTTGGCCTCCTAAAGTTCTGGGATTATAGGCATCAGCCACTGTACCCAGCTGTCACTGTGTTTTTTATGTCTAGCATTTCCATTTGACTCTTACAGTTTCTATCTCTCTGCTGAAATTCCCTATCAGATCATACATGTTGTTCTAACATATGGGTTACCTCTTAGTCTGGTTCTGTTATCCCAACAGTTGGTTTTTGTGCTCTTTTTTCTTTCTCTTTTGGGTATCTCATAAGTTTTTATTGAATGCCAGTCATTATTCATAGAATGGTACAGATGGAGTATGTGTGTCAAGAAACGTAGCCTCTTCTGCTAGGCTATTAATGTGTAAACCTGAGTCAGTCTAGTCAGGAGTTGGGCTGGGTTTGGATTTTGTTATTACCATGGTTATTTCAGGTGCCTGACCAGATTCAAATTTCTCTGGCATTTCTTTGTGCTTAGGGTGTGGCTCTTAGTCTTCCATGTGTGCCTGTCAGAGTATCCCTCCTGCTCTTGCCGCTACCCTACTAGGATGCTGCAGTTGCTTGGTATTGAGTGCTTGCCAGCCTTGGGGGTGGGCAGCAGGCAAGAAGATGCTGGTGTTCTGGTCCATTCTCAGTCCAGGCAGGTGCTGTATCCTAGGGTCTCAGTGATTCTGCCTTCTCCCTAGATGTCGGAGACTTCTAATCGTCTGGGCCTTGATCCTCCCCTGCCCCTCCATCATCTTTTCTCTTTCACCTGTGCCTTAGGGATGATAAGTCTGCTTTCCTTCCCCCAGTGACTTTTGACTTTTGTTCCATTGAGGAGAAGGGTCCAGACCTGAGCTACCAGGGAGGCTTTCTCTGGTTCTGTCCCTAGTCTTTCTCAGGAGTGGCCATAGGAGGTCCTTGGAGGGAGCCCTTATGTCTGTGGCTCCCAGGAGTTCTTTTTTTTTTTTTTTTTTGAGACAGAGTCTCACTGTGTTGCCTGGGCTAGAGTGCTGTGGCGCCATCCTAGCTCACAGCAACCTCAAACTCCTGGGCTCAAGCAATCCTTCTGCCTCAGCCTCCCGAGTAGCTGGGACTACAGGCATGCGCCACCATGCCCGGCTAATTTTTTCTGTATATTTTTTTTAGTTGTCCGATTAATTTCTTTCCATTTTTAGTAGAGACGGGGTCTCGCTCTTGCTCAGGCTGGTTTCGAACTCCTGAGCTCAAACAATCCGCCCGCCTCGGCCTCCCAGAGAGCTAGGATTACAGGTGTGAGCCACCGCACCCGGCCTCCCAGGAGTTCTTTAGCAATTTATTAAGGGATTCTAATTACCCACTTGTGTGATGGCCTATCTTCCTTCTTCAGCCATGGGTGAGTCAGTGCACTTGTCTCAGTTCATCTTTCCATGGAGGCACCTTGCATTAGGTTTCAGGTTAGACAGTTGCCACGTAACCTTAGCTCTGTGATGGGTTCAAGAAAAGTAAGATTGTAGATTATCTGGCTTTTTCTTATTGTTGGGATGGGAGTGATGCTCTTTCCAGCTTTCTACCTCCTGGGGGAAACAAGTTAATATATAATTAATCATAATAATAACGTAACATTATTTTACATAATATATAATACAATAATAAAAGGGATACAGGATATGCAAGTGAATTGTTCAATGCAGCCATGTGGTGTTGCATGCCAAGTTGGGGGTTGTGTGCTTCTGTTGGTCATGGTGAGGAGGCATTCAGTGCCTATGACTGACCAGGTAATGTTGAGGATGAGAATAATATTGACTGGATCGACAGTAGTATGCTATAGGGTGGTGGTGTGGTAACAGAAACAAGGGCTTGGATGCTGGTGTGGGAAAAGAGGGAGATGAGTCAGAAGAGAGAGGCAAATTCTGAAGGCCCACCAGCTACAGGAGGAGAGGCTTGTTCTAGGAGAAGGGAAGAGGTTCTTTCCAGATGGAGAGGTCTGGCAGAGGACAGAGGACCCTGAGCCCTGGAGAGCAGTGGGGTGTTTCCATGTTGAGTGGAAAGCTGAAGCTTGCAGTGGGTGTGGTGAATCAGGTTAATCAGGCCTGGAATGGGACCCCAGCCTTGTCACCACCACCATGGGAGCCCCTTGCCCTCAGTATTATTTCTGGACAGTATCCTTGAGGAAGTCTCCCCACCCCCACACCTGCTTTCCCAGATGAACCTTCACTGAGGGCTTGCAGCAGTCTGTGCCACTTCCATCCTTTTGCAAGAAGTGTTAACATTTGGTATGTCCTAGTCTCTGCAAGGTAACCATTCCTTGGATGTCAAAAGACATCACAGATCAAATCAAGCACGTGTTTTATTTATTAGCCACCTTTGCTCAAATCTTTCTCCAAACACTTCAGTCATAAAACACTTCCTGGATATTCCTGTCCATGTTATAAGGTCCCTTGTCGTTTTGGATGGACCTCTTAGATTCTGAGTCTCATTTTTCAAGTGTTATTGGAGTTTGAGGAGGCCCATTATATACCACCTGTCTTCCCAAAGCAAGTTCTGAACCAATTAAAAAGTAAAGCTTATATCTCAATAAAGCTTTTACCAATCACACATACACACAAAGGCTGATGGGACATGAAAATATCATTTACAGATTAAGCACAGCTGGAAAATGTGATTTATCACCACTCAAATGTGCTTCCCAATACAGAACCCCAGAATAAGACAGACTTACCACCAGGTTCAAGCAGTGAGGAACTAACCATATGCTCCACCATATTGGGAGCCTGCCTCTCTAGGTCTTTGAACATGGGGGAGCAGACCAGAATGTAGGCTCACGATAGCCAGTCTAGTCCCCTGAAGTAGCTGAGCTGAGACTGCTCAGTTCTTACCCAAACTAACCAAATAAGTTAGTCCACCTCCCCTGCAGATAGAGAATGGGAAAGAAATAATCCCCCCCACACACGCACACGCATGCTTTAATGCTGTCCTAGCCAATGATCTCTTGTTGTCTCTGAGCCAGAGTCTGCTAAATCCGCACTCTCCCACAGGGGTTGTTGACCCCACTGGCACCTGCCACAGACCCCAGGTGTATCCTTCAACAATAGAAAAGAAAGAATTCCCTTCTTGGATCTTTCTCTGCCATGGGGCTTCTCATCCTGGAATGTTACTTGAGTATGACAGTTCATTCAGGGAAGTCCCCAGCAGGGGCTTCAGAGGGGAAGCACTGAGGGTAGGGCTGGTGTCCTGAGCCCCAGGGCTGAGATTGGGCCCCACAGGAGGCCACTGTGCACCCTGGAGCCTGTGGCACTGGAGGCCTGGCTGTCAGCCTCTGCTACAGGAGAGGCCATGGCCCTTTTGCCCTGAGGAAACAGAGGGGCCTAACACATCCTATTGCCATGTGGGTTCAGCTTCTTCCTCCTCTGCCCTGAGGTGGGACCAGATCCACATATTGAGTGTCCTTGATGGAGTGAGCTCCCTAAGCATAGCCTGTCCTCTCGAAACAGCACCTGTCCCCATGTGAAGTCTTGATCTGAGTGGCATTTTGTCATTTCGGTGGCTCAGTGTACAAGATTTAGAACTATTGTCTTCCCCCACTCACATAGACCCTTTGACTTAATCCAGAAACATCTCCACCCCACCTTTCCCACCATCTGTGCTCCCGTCCCCACAGGCCCCATCTCTGGCCTGAACCTGGCAGCAGATTCCCATCACATTTCCCTGTGCCTCCAGTCTTGCCCTTCCCACCCTTCCCCTGCTAGTGCATTCTCCACTAGAAATTATCTTCCACAAAGAGGTCACAGCACCCCCATGTACAAGTATCTTAGCCCCTGGACAGCACCCCCCAAACTGTTCACAAGAGCTCATTCGTCCCTGCCTGCCCGTGTGCTGCTGTCTGCCCTGAAGGGCTCCCACAGTCACAGTGTGGTCCTGCACTTATTTCTGCTCCACGTGGCCTCTGGATGCTCAGTCTACATGAGGACTCTGGGAGGGCAGGGCTCAGGCAGCACTGGGCTGTCTCCCTGCTGCTGTGTGCACTCTATGCAGGGGTATGACCTCAGACCGGATTTACACCTTTCTCTTAAACCTCGCTATTAGCCTTGGCATGTTCCTGTTTGGAAACATGTCTTCTGAGTCCTAGTTGTTTGACATGGTTGTGGCGGTTCGGTCCCTCTCCAGCTCACACGGCCAAGTATGTTCAGGGACTGCACCTTCGTCAGCAAAACCAGTTTCGGGATTGCACTTGCTCTTCAGTTTTGAGTAGTGTTAACCTTTTCATTTTGGATTTCTTGTTTCAGAATATGAAACCAAGGGAGAAAAGCAAAATGCAGACTCGAGTCTGAAGCCATTAATTTCAGAGGAAATAACAGTGATTCTGGGGAAAACCCCCTTGGGGAGGATCGATCAAGAAAATAATGAAACAGAGCAAAACTTCTGTCTGAATTCAAACCCTGCTTGCCACACTGAAGTTCAGGCCTTAAGCCAGACGGTGCCACTCACTCAGCATCAGGCCGTTCCTAGTGGAGAGAGACCCTACATGTGCATCGAGTGTGGGAAGTGCTTTGGTCGGAGCTCCCATCTCCTTCAGCATCAGCGTATCCACACTGGAGAGAAGCCCTACGTATGCGGTGTATGCGGGAAGGCATTTAGCCAGAGCTCAGTCCTTAGTAAACACAGGAGAATTCACACAGGCGAGAAGCCCTACGAGTGTAACGAGTGCGGAAAAGCCTTCAGAGTGAGCTCAGATCTTGCTCAGCATCACAAGATACACACCGGAGAGAAACCTCACGAATGTCTCGAGTGTCGGAAAGCCTTCACTCAGCTCTCTCATCTCATTCAGCACCAGCGGATCCACACGGGAGAAAGGCCGTATGTGTGTCCTTTGTGCGGGAAAGCCTTCAACCACAGCACTGTCCTGCGGAGCCACCAAAGGGTGCACACAGGGGAGAAGCCTCACGGGTGCACCGAGTGTGGGAAAACCTTCAGTGTGAAGAGGACGCTTCTGCAGCACCAGAGGGTCCACACCGGGGAGAAGCCCTATGCGTGCAGCGAGTGTGGGAAGGCCTTCAGCGACCGCTCGGTGCTCATCCAGCACCACAACGTGCACACCGGGGAGAAGCCCTACGAGTGCAGCGAGTGCGGGAAGACCTTCAGCCACCGCTCCACCCTGATGAACCACGAGCGGATCCACACGGAGGAGAAGCCCTATGCGTGCTACGAGTGCGGGAAGGCCTTCGTTCAGCACTCACACCTGATCCAGCACCAGAGGGTCCACACTGGGGAGAAGCCCTACGTGTGCGGCGAGTGCGGGCACGCCTTCAGCGCGCGCCGGTCTCTGATCCAGCACGAGAGAATCCACACGGGCGAGAAGCCCTTCCAGTGCACGGAGTGTGGCAAAGCTTTCAGCCTGAAAGCGACTCTGATTGTGCACCTGAGGACCCACACGGGCGAGAAGCCCTACGAGTGCAACAGCTGTGGGAAGGCCTTCAGCCAGTACTCGGTGCTCATCCAGCACCAGCGGATCCACACGGGCGAGAAGCCCTACGAGTGCGGCGAGTGCGGGCGCGCCTTCAACCAGCACGGGCACCTGATCCAGCACCAGAAAGTGCACAGGAAGCTGTGACCCGCGATCGACACAGAATCCACCCTCTCAGAAACTGTACATGGAACCACAGGCAGCCTCCAGCCCAGGGGAAGCGCCTTTGACCTCTACAGGAGGCCCTTCTGTGGTAAGTCAGTGTCACCAAGGAACTCAAAAGAGAAGCACTGGGCATGTTCTTCCCATGGAAAAACTTCAGAGAATGCCTGTTTGATTTAGCTCAACATCTTGAGGTTATGTTGGAGAGCAATCATACAATTACAGTGAATCTTGGTAAAGACAGCCATATTTCCCTAATATTACACAGTTTATTTGAAGTAAGTAACTAAGGGAAGTTAAGGCATAAGAACTAGTGTCCCAATAAAACTTTCTTATATTTGAGATAAAATTCTTTTTCCTAGGACACTACATGCCTTTCCTAAATACAATTAATTATTCTAATTATTGCACTTAGAATGTTGACTATTTTCAGTATTATGTTAAAACACTAAAGTGCTATGTGGATGAAGTGATGTAAAAAGAGATTGTCATCAAGTATCATGTAAAATGGCTGGAAATCCTAAGTATGTGGAAACACCAGTTTTGTATGAAGTAAAGGAAGAAATCTAAAGATATGTTAGTGAGAAATGATGTAAATTTAGAAAGTTTTTTTGTTTTTTGTTTTTTTGAGACAGAGGCTCAGTCTGTTGCCCCGGCTAGAGTACAGTGGTGTCATCATAGCTCACTGCAGCCTCAAACTCTTGGGCTCAAAGGATCGTCTTGCCTCAGTCTCCCGAGTGTGCATCACCACACCTGGCTAATTTTTTTCTATTTTTAGTAGAGACGGGGGTCTCGCTCTTGCTCAGGCTGGTCTTGAACTCCTGACCTCAAGTGATCCTCCTGCCTCAGTCTCCCAGAGTGCTAGGATAACAGGTGTGAGCCACTGCGCCCAGCCTAGAAAACCCTTTGGTGCTTTAACTTTATTCAAGATCAGGAGTGTCCTAACTCTTTAGAAAAATTCAACTTAAAAATGAGTATTTTACTGAAAACCTGCCCTTATAACCTACTGACCCTGTGCTCCAGAGACTGTAGGATGTCTCAGACCTGTAGGTGCCACACAGGCCTAGGAGGGAGGCTCACACTCAGAGCAGACCTCATAGCTGCTACATATAACTGGGTGCCTCTTTACACCTATGATTTTTTTTTTCATTTTCTAGTCACCATATTTGTTAAAGGTATTTTTTTTTAATTACTAAAAATACTTCTTTGGTGCTTGTGTGTGTGTGTGTGTGTGTGTGTGTGTGTGTGTAGACAAGTTCTTGCTCTGTCACCCAGGCCAGAGCGCAGTGGTGGGATTTAAGCGATCCTCCCACCACGGCCTCCCAAAGTGCTGGGATTACAGGTGCGAGGCACTATGCCTGGCCTGGTGCATATTTTTACAACATAAAGTTCTCAAATTGAGATACCTCTTTTTGACTGTCTCTAATATTTCTGTCCCTATATTTGAGGTTTTTTTTTTTCTTTTTTTTTTTTTTTACTCCTGGTTCAAGAGAATCTAGTATCAATTGCATATTACTGTGATGAATCTGGTTTATTCATAATTAAAAATTTGTATTTAACTTGTTCAAAATTATTTGTTCTAAGTTCTACAGTTCTTGAAGGTAAATTTGTATCAGAGCCAATATCTAATAGCATCCAGTTGCAAAGGAAACATGTATGAGATTCAAGCCACTTCAAATCCTCCTAAACATGTTAAGTGCCTGAGAGAAAAGAGGGTTCTCTCCACCCACCCCATCCTAATGTCTATCAACTTCTTGGGGAAAAACAGGCACTAGGGCATTGATCCTTAAGTCCACATCAATACACTATGATGTATATAAAAGCATCTCCCCATTTCTGTGTAGACACTGGTCCGAGGAACTGATAACACTAACGTATTAACTTCGGAGAAGAACTGGTGACTGATGTGTTGAGAAAGGAGCTGGGATCACTGCTGTTTTATTAAATACTTCAGAGCAGCTGAAATGACTGAAGTGAAACTCCAGAGGAACTAGTATCACTGAAGTGTTAATTCAGAAAGAAAATGAGACAATTGTGGTGTTACTTCAGAGGATCTGAGGTGTTTTATCAGAGAGGAGACGAGATCACTGGGTGTTACTTCTGAAAAGGGACTGACATCACTAAAATGTACTTCAGAGTAGCTATGACCACTGAGGTTTACTTCAGAGGAGCTGAAATAACCAAAGTGGGATCACCAAGCTGTCACTAGAGATTAGATCACTGAGGTCATTCTTCAGAGAGAGGTTGAGATTACTGAGCGTGATACTTTAGAGAGGAGCTGTGATCACTGAGATATTACTTCAGGATGGAGCTGAGGTCACTTAGGTGAAAGTTCAGAGAGGAGCTGAGGTCACTGAGGTGATACTTCAGAGAAGTTGAGGTCACTGAAGTGAAAGTCCAAAAAGCTGAGATCACTGGGATGTTACTTCAGAGAGAAAAGGTTATCTCATAAATTCTCCATGAAGGGAAGCTACCAACTCTTGCCAGTTGAGTCCACAGCTGACTCAGTGGCATCTGCTCAGAGCCCACTACTACTTAGGCCACAATTTCTAATCATGTTTGAAAATTAGAGACAAAGTCATGTTCCAATCAAGGTGAGAATAAGAATTTAATTAAATTCAATATACCAAAATATTTGTTTAGAAAGATTATATGTATCACAGCATATGTTACACAGTACAAGTCATTCTGGATTGTTAAATCTTCCAATAACCTAAGATTTTCAGGGAAATCTTTCCAAAATGTATAGTTTGCTTTCCTGCTTTCTTTAAATGCCTGTTCTTGCTGTGTAAGGCTGCCATTGCTTCACCAATGGGCATGTAGGCCCAGGTGTTCCTGGAGCCAGGAAGTGGGCGTCAATGCCCCTCTTCCTGGAGAGGATTCCCAGGCTATGTATTCTTGCCACTCACTTCCTTCTCTCCAAGGAGCAGGAAGGCAGCACATGACCTACTGGAACAAATGAGCTGCCTGCCTTTTGGGACATGACATCAGAGGCCAAAATGATCTTTGGGGTCCCCTTCATGCTGGTAATAGCCTTCCCAGCCATTAGTACCTGCCTCTGACTTGTCAAAAGCATTCCACATGTATTTTGGATTTTTAATTTTATTCAGAAGTCTCTATATTTATGTATTTAAATGTTTCTCTTTATATTATTTCTCCTAACAGCTACTAAGAATTTGAAACTTAGTTCTCTTCAAATTTTCTATTATTTTAGAAAACATTTAATTCAACCTGGAATTTATTTCTGTGTACTGTATATAATCTAACACTTTCCAATAAAGGCAATAACTGGAATAAACGTTTGGAGTGAAGGAAGATCAATAACTTTGGCATAAACATCTCCTACAAATCATTGACTATAGGACATGAGCAGGCAATTCCCAATAAGGGAAAATAGAACCATTGAAGCCTGGAAAAGGCTCAAGTGTGCCAATTCTAAAACAAACAACACCATGCCATCCCCTAATCAATTAGTAAAGATTATCCTGCAATGACCCGGGCTGTGAGGGTATGGAAAAATGGGTGCTTTCATGCATTGCTGATGACTGTTGATTAATACAATCTTTCCTCATGTAACATGCAAACTTTACCAAACAAAAGTAGAAAGTAGAAAGCTATAGCTACACATAACTTTTCCCTGGAATTTCTCTGGGCCAGAAAGTGGTTTCTGCTGTGCCTAGCCTGTGTCAGGTGTGAGGAGTCAGTGGTGGGACCCATCCCATCCCTGGAGGAAGATGACAGCACACCAGGACTTGGCTTGGCAGGTGCAGGTTTTTCCATGCAAAAGCCGTTGACTTTTCCTGCACCTAACACAACACTTCAACAGGACTATTACAAGGATACCAGAGACTATACATAGCAATACACAATAGCGTCAAAGTGAGTTATAGATTGGAAAAAACAGGATAACCATTTAACAAAACCAGAACATTCATCTGTATATTCTTTGATTAAGTGTATTATTTTCCCCGCTTTTGTACCCATATGTATTAGAGCCTTTTTCGTGAAAAGGAATTTTGGCTAGAGCTGATTGTAAACGGTTTTACAGAAGAATTTAAAATAACTGGAAGACAAAAATTTAGAATAGTCATGGTTAAAGTTTGATAAAAGTTCCCAATTGATGAGGAATTTTGGTTATTTCTATTACATGTAGTATTTTAAGATAATAACCAAAATCTTGATGGATCGTATTATATCAGCATCATCAGACTTTTATAAATTTCATATATTTAGAATACTCACATTAATAATAGTCATACAAATATAAGTTTAGAGGCCGGGCGTGGTGGCTCACGCCTGTAATCCTAGCACTCTGGGAGGCTGAGGCGGGAGGATTGCTTGAGCCCAGGAGTTTGAGGTTGCTGTGAGCTAGGCCAATGCCACGGCACTCTAGCCCAGACGACAGAGCCAGACTCTGTCTCAAAAAAAAAAAAACAAACACATGTAACTTTAGAAAATTTTTTTTTTTTTTTTGAGACAGAGTCTCACTGTGTTGCCTGGGCTAGAGTGCCGTGGCGTCATCCTAGCTCACAGCAACCTCAAACTCCTGGGCTCAAGCAATCCTCTGCCTCAGCCTCCCGAGTAGCTGGGACTACAGGCATGTGCCACCATGCCCGGCTAATTTTTTTCTATATATTTTTAGTTGTCCAATTAATTTCTTTCTAGTTTTAGTAGAGATGGGGTCTCGCTCTTGCTCAGGCTGGTTTCGAACTCCTGAGCTCAAACAATCCTCCCACCTCAGCCTCCCAGAGAGCTAGGATTACAGGCGTGAGCCACCATGCCCGGCCTAGAAAATATTTAATATAATCACAATTAGACTGATAACACATCAGATTTTAATGAATTTATATAATTTTTAGAACATTTACATTAATAAAATACCCATAAATGTAACTGAAAGAAAATCTAGTATCATTTATCATTTGATAAAACTTTCCCATATAATTTACCAAATAAGCTTAATCATTTAATATGAAAAGACTTAA